GATGATTTTTTTCCAATGAGTTCTACATTGTTCGATAGATAATTTTCTGCTCTATAAGATAGCATAATTGCCTTCTTACTATTTCTCGAATTGTGTCGATTTTTATTTCATTGAAAGGAAATTCGGGTCGACGCAAAAGTGAGTTTTCGACAACTACTTTTTGCACTTTATCTCGGCTCTCAAAAAACAGAAGAAGCTCAAAACTTGTGATATATATGACCAAGGAAAGATGCTTCTTATGGCAGCTTGAAGTTGGTTCAAGCGATCATGAGATGGGTTTTCGGACCTTGTAAATGTGCAACGCATGGGGGCCCTCCTGGGGAGCGACGGCCTGCAGAACCTATCCACTAATTTTCGAACGTCTAACATCAACTGAGGGTGGTGGTTGATGATGATAAGGAAGCATTCCATGACCTCAAACGATTCCCCATCCCTGGTATGAATCTCCATGAATAAGGTTATTCAGTAAGCTCTCAGTTGAACTCAATAGGGCATTAGGTCCGATGCTTCTCTGTGAGGTCTATATTGAAATCTTCGAATCACTTGAACCGTCGTAATCATTCCTAAGAGACACAGCCTCTTAGCCATATACTTAGCTTCTGGGTCTGCGGTTTTAGCTTTTCAATTAGAAGTAAAATGGGGAGGCTGTCGAAAACGCTCAATTTCCCTGACACTCCAGTTTGAGCATTTAAATATTAGTTTGAAGAAAAAATCCAAAGGAACTAAAAAAAACTGTCATATAGGGCAAGGAATTCTCTACAAAACAGGGTAAAACGCTATGGCAAAACTTTTCATCTTTGGCGCGATATTTCGAGTGAGAAAAAACGCCATTACTTATGGGCCGACCCAGTATATTCAGTACAAGCGGCTAGGCTAAGTGGATTTCATACTGTGAAAGAAATAAGCACCGAAGGTCAAGCCAGCTTTGTATACCGCACATGTTTTTCAGAAGAGCTTGTGACAGCACCAACAAGTAACTTGCACCCGCTCTGCGAAAGTCCAGTACAATATTGAACAACGGTGGTCCCGAAAAAAAGAATAGAAGAATCGTAACACGAATTCACACCAAAAACACACGGATTTCATGACTGAGGAAGAAGTTTCTTGATGGCATGCTCCTTTATGAAGGGGATGGGAAAGTTGTGAGAATACACGCAGGATTTGAACTGGCTTCGATAGAACACCACTGACCGGAGAAGGCAACACGTGTTGCAAAAGGAAATTGAACCGATTAAAACCCGTAAGCATTGGCATGCTTAGTTCCGGCGGTGCTCTGAAAGTCTGCGGCAAATGAAGTACTCCAGAGATTCCATTTTAGACAGAGATGATCAGAGATTATTGACAACGATAGAGTAGTCGCTGCCTGGCACAGTAAGAAGGTATGGACCATCATACCTGGAAAGGAGTTTCTTCAATATACTGCTGGGATCTCTGCGATTGAAGCTCATGCTAAATGTTGTTTGTAATGGATAAGGCAGAGCACATCACTGGTTGGATTTTGTTCGAGTCCGTACCCCCTCCCCCCTCCTTTTGGAGAGTTGGGGCGACAACCCTCCTAGTTCCCTCCTCATCGAACTGTTCAGGGGGAGTGATGTATGTACACATGAAAGAGAAGCCACTAAAAGCCAGCAGCCTCTCTCAGACATCAGGAAAGTCATAGGGGGAATACGATCCCTCTCTTACAACGTCTCTGAAACAAGAAAAATCAAGTAAAATGTTTTTCTCGGCCCAAATACGACCCCTCCCTCTCCAAGTAACCAAATGCGACCCCCTGTTGGGGAATCCAAAACGACGATGTGCTCTGGGATAAGGTGTGTTGTGTACTGCTGCTTCGCTGAACACACTCATATACTCTAGTTCGCAGCGGACGGTCGGGCGTGTCAGGCAGTATGACCGTGTTGCCCCGTCAAAGCATTTGCCTTCCTGCTTGTTGAAGCGCGCGCGCGAAAAAAAGTAGAAAACTAGTAGTACGAATGCTATGATACAGTCATATCATTT